AGTCATTCATTATCCACTAAACCCCTGCTCTAATGGTTTACTATAGAAGAGAGATGACTAGATTCTCAAAGGTGATTCAATTCCAGGAAAATACAAGTTTTTCGTTCCGTTCTAACCAAGTTAAAAAGGCTTTAAGTATAAACTTGACAAGAGAAGTGTCAGTCACTAGTTAGACAATTAAATTTTGAAAGGCATTTCTCTACAAGTTTGGCTGCCATGTAAATTAGTAATGTAGTAAAATTATTTACTACAGCAGTTCATGAAAGCACCTGAAAAACTATAGATGAATTTTTCTTTTTCCCAGCAAATGATGAAGTACCCACACCACTCAAACCATGAATTTTGTTCATTAAAAATGTAAATTGACAAATTTTGTTTTAGTAAAAAAACACTTCTCAACATATACCCCAAAAGTCTTCCTCCCACAAAGTACATTCCCACAAAATAGCTTCATTATTTGTTAAGAGAAAGGTATATGTCCCTTAACTTTGAAAGCAAGATACTACTGACGCTGACGCTGACACTGACCCTGACCCTTTTAACAGAACAGAGTTGTGTTGACTATCCAGAAATCATGGATCTTTTAAGTACTCATTTCACATTAAAACTTACCTTAATAATCTTCCCTCAAACTCTACAGCAGGCAATTATTCTGCTGGAAGACATGTTAGTAACCATCATTCTTGGTGGTTACTAAGACTTCTGATTTTCAGCAGCATAAAGAGGAATGAAGGAAGGCAAAACGAAGATGTATAAATATGCTACAAACTTTTCTCACCAAATATCCTTATTTCTGAGTCAGAACTACAAAAGACCCCAGGCATTTCTAAATACACAAAGGCACTAGATCTCTGGATAGGTGAAATTTTGCAGCTAGGTGGTACAATGGAGTGCTGGCCCAGGAATAAGGAAGACACTAATTCAAATCTTGGTTTGGACCTTACTACCTGCATGACCCTAGGAATGTCACCTATGTCTCTAAATCTGTTTCCTTATCTACAAAATTGGATAATATGGAACTTATACAATAGGATTATTATAAGAATCAAATGAGGTAAAATATGCAAACCACTTTGCAAAACTTAAAGTACTATTATATAAGAGCTATTATTGGTGTTATTATCATCTATTCACTCAAACTCTGGATCACATGCTATTCTCTGCTTTAGGAATATGAAACTTTATGGAACTTGGGACACTAATAAGAATTTTCTTCTTGTGCTAATTGTACAGGTTTTGAAAATGCTTTTAATTGTGTAATAAAAAACTAAGACAAACAGAAAATTTTTTTTTCTTTTCAAATCTAAAGGGTAAAGAGCACATATTCTTGGATTTCTATTTAAAATTCCCATAGTACAAAAAAACCAAACAACATTCCCCCCAGTAGAGATCAAAATTAAATTTTTATTAGATTATATCAGCGGCTCTTAACCTGGAGATCACAGATTCAGGGGAGGGTCCATGAACCTGGGTAGCAAAAAAAATTAGAACTTTATTTTCATTCTTCTCTAAATGAAATGTGGCATTTCCTTCAGTTATTTTAAAACATTATTCAGAGAAAGAGTTCAAAGGCTTCACTTGAATGTTATGACAAAAAAAAAGTTTAGAAACCTTGGATTAGATGCTTAACTGGCTGACACTCAAAGGTACTGAAGGAATATAAGAATTTAAGAAAGATACAAACATGGTAGTTTCTAAAGGGCATCTGAATAGCACATGAGTCTCTATGGGGAGACAATGAAAAAAGAGAAAAAAATTTCAATTCATTAAGTAATTGAAATAAGACCAGAAAACAGTTTTTTGTTTGTTTGTTTGGTTTTTAAATAAAAGCCTGTAAACGTCAGGACATCCATTCTTACCCATAGGTCTGTTCCTGTCCCTGAGGTCCCTGTGGTTGGGGTGTCGGTAGGAGTCCCTGTAGTGGTGGGCAATGGCCATATCATCCAAACGATAATGCTGAGGTGGCGGTGGGGTGGGGTGAGGCAGGCCGTTGGGCTGGTAAGATAAGCCATTATTTGGACTGTACCGCTGGCCTGGGCTAATAGTGCATGGCCGCTTGCTTGGATGCTCTGAGTGCAAAGGCTCTCTGTCAAAGCCATTTTCTTTGGTTCTGAAGATGGAAAAACAAAAAGAAAGTTTGTTTCATAATTTACTTGGCAACCAGTGTTGTTCAGACATACGTTCCTACTGGAGTCCTCCTAGACATATTCTGTTGGAGGCCATTTTGCTGTTTAGAATCTTTCTAAGTTCAGAATTTTAGAAGAAGAATGGGTCATCAATGAAATCTAGGAAGAGGCCAAAATGATCAAGGAACCAAAGACATTAGAGGCCATTTCACTTCTCATTAAAGCTAACTTTCAGGATAACAAAAGATTGACAATCCATACTATCCTCTGAAGGATGACACTTTCAATCAAAAGGTAAGTTTCCGGTCCTTGAGTACTGGATAGATTTGATCTTTGACAAATTATCATTGAAAAACAACAGATGATAACTTATCAACACCTATACCAGTTTTTTTTTTTAATCCAAACTTGGGCCAGACTTTCACGAAAAGGATAAATTCATATACAGGACAAATTAAGTATACAAAAAAGAGAATAAGAAGTGTTTGCATACCTCATACCACAACAAAGGCAACAAGAAATTTAGAATTTTAGAGATGGAATGAACCTTAAAGGTCTTCTATACAACCCACCATCCCCAACTACCTTCCTTTCTCAAGGAAGAAACTGTGACTTAGAGAGATAAAGTAATTTATCTGCCCAAAATCACACTACTAGTTAGTATCAAAACTGAGACAACCTAGGTGAAACCATAGCTCAGTTCCCTACATACCACCACGGTTCTATTATACTGAATTGCCTCCATTTATGCCTTTTTTGATATCTTCTTTAAAATGGAAAGTACTATGTAAATCTAAGATAATTTTAATATTTAATCACTACTCCTTGGTTACCAACCAAAATCAGCAATGGGTCAGTTAACAAGCATTTGCTAAGTGCCTCCTATGTGCCAGACACTTTGCTAAGCAGAAAGGTAAAAAGCAGTCCATAATCTCAAGTACCTCAAAATCTGATAGAGTCAACATGAAAAAAAAATAAGGCTGTCTACAGGATAAGCCTGAGATAATCAACAGTGGGAAGGCAGTAGCATTAAGGAGGGTCAGGAAAGGCTTCTTGTAGAAGATGAGATTTTACCTGAAACTTGAAAGAAGCCAGGCAAGTCAAGAGGCAGAGACAAGGAGGGAAAGAATAGTGTGGACTGAGGACAGCGAGTCAAAATGTTTGGTATAGGGAAATGGAGTGTGTTGTTTTGTTTCATGAATAAGAAGGCTGGTGTCACCAGATTGCAGAGTATGTTGTGGAGAGGAAGACTAGAAAGTCGAGAAGACTAGAAAGGTAGTGGGGGATGCCTTCTGGTGATCTTTAGATAACAAGCTAATGGAGCCACCCAAAAGACAACAGATTCTATTGGTTAGTTGGTCATATCACAGCCTAGTTAGACAAGTTGAAGAATCTATTTCCCAAAAGTAATGTCACACCATGGAACATTCAGGACAGATACAACTCTGAAGAGACTAGCACACTAGTACAAAATGTGCTATACTCTTTTTGTGTTTGTTTGCTAGAAACCTAATAGCAAAAAGTCCTTGATAGACTTTTGAAACCTCTTGGAATTAGATCAAAATGCTAAGATGAATGGAGGATGAGAGGTGTCAAAAGGATCACATAATGCGTTGCTGCTTTGGAAAGGATCCTAGGTCATCACCATCAACTATCCCCTTCCCCCTTCAACCTCATTCTCCTCCAAACACTGGTCTCTCCAAGAATCTTATTGGGCTTGATGATTCCAATGAAAGTACGGCTGAAGAAGGCCTGTACTTAAATAAGCCATCTTGAAGGGCCAGTTACAGTGTATTCAAACTTCCTCAAGAACGGCATAGAACTGGAACCAGCAGATGTGGGTGCCAATCCTAAAACTGTTCCTCTATGACTTTAGTAAATTTACTTAAATTCTTTGGGCCTCAATTTCTTCATTTGTATAAAAGGATCAGGTGGACCTGGATGAATACACTAATAACATCTTTCTAGTCCTAAACACCATAACTACAAATAGCATGAATTCTAATCTAGCAATCCTGAAAGAGCAGAACCAGAGGAAATCCTCCAATGTTAACAGGAAGATGCTCTATGGAAAGCTGACAGAAGGACATAAACATGAATCACAGGAGATGAGAAGGCATACAGACAGGCTACAATTGGCACCAGTGGAGGAAGAATCCATTGCTGACATCAGGGACTCAGTAAAATACTGAGAATGCTCCTAAAGAATCAAAAAGTAAAGGAATAAAGAGATCTTTGAATAGCCAAAATAGGAACAGAAATTAGACCCGTTACTGCATTAGTGTAATCAGTTTCTGGATGAGAAAACACTATCGACCAATATAGGTCAGCACCTTTTAGTTGCCTAGAGCACAGAAAGGCTATGACTTTACTCAGGGTCCAAAAACCAATATGGGTTAGAGGTGGGGCTTGAAGCTAGATCTTCCTGGCTTCAAGGCCTACTCTTTATAAATCCAACCATACTGCTTCTTGTACCTCATGGCCAAAACAGCAATCTTAACTCCAGTCTTATTTCAAATTGCCATCTAGATCTTTCCTCTTGGATATCCTATCAGCATTTCAATACAACATCTAAAATTAAATGACTATATTTCCTGTTCTAACACTACCATGTTCCCAATATGCAGTTTCATAACTAAGAGTCATTCTCCTTTCCATTTCCTTATCTCCCCTTTCATGTTGATATACAACCAATGGCCAAGTCTTACGCAGCGGAAAGAACAATGTACTTGGACTCTGGAAGAGCTTGGTTCCAATCCTCTCCTAGACACTTTCTAATTGTATGACCCTGGGCAAGTCACAACCACTCTATACTTCAGAGTGCTTATTTTCTGCTGAAGGTTTATGGTCAGAATATTTGCATTTTCCAATAGACTTTTGAGATTGTTTTTTTCCAATGGACTTTCTAGGCACTCTCTCATTCTGTCCCAGCAACCTCATTTTTTCATCTTAGTCACTATTCTCAGAAATACCATTGATCCCAACAAAGATTTGGGACCAACGTTCTTCAAAGCTACACGTCTTTGACTGATTTATTGGCACTTCTTGTTTTGTTTTTTTTTAATATGTTGCATAAAATTTTCATTTCTGAAAGAGACACCTTTCTTCTCGCTACCTTCCACATTGGCACAAACCACTGATTGGGAAAAAATGATTTTTTCTTTCTTTTTTGTTGTATTTAATAAAAGACACCTTCAGATTTATATGTTTTTCCTCATTTCTCATAGATTCCCAGAGTTGGAAAAAATCCCAGAGGCCATTTACAAATACAACTCACACCTCAATAGGAATCCTTTCTATAACATACCCAACAAATGGTCATCTAACCTACATATGAAGGCCACCTTTGATATAGTCTACTCTCTGCAATTACATTGGTACCAACTCTGAATTGTTCTTTTCCAGTTCTTCAAAGACCTAAGATACTATAATGTAAGTAACCAAGTCAATGAGTTAGAACACAAAATAATCCTTTCTCTTTTCTGAAGAGTGTCATAGAAATGTTTAAAAAGGTACTCATGAAACTCCAGGTAAATGAGATGTTTCCTAAATGAATTTAAATCACTTGAACCATATAAGTTATAATCCAGAGTCATGTGAGAATCTGGTGATATGACTGTTGATTGCTGGTAAGGTTTAAATGATATAGTACCTACAAGGTGCTCTATAAACCTTAAGAAACTAGATAAACACAGTGATAGGAGGAATATTTTTATTATTGAGGGGCTAAAGTCCTGGAGCCAACAAAAATGTGTGCCAATTTCCAAAAAAGGGAAATAAGGATGATTCTGAAACTTAGAAGGCTTGATAATAATCTCTGACCAAAGGTTAGAAAGGATTATTAAGATGGATGAATCATTAGACAGAGAAATGGTTGTGATGCCCAGCAGTGTGGCAGAGGGCAAAGAATACCAGAGTCAGAAAACTAGAATTCGAGCTTTGGAACATTTGAGACTTATTGGTTGTTTGATCCTAAGCAAGTCAATTGCTATCTCTGTGCCTCAGTTCCTTCATCTCTAAAACAAGAACAATAAAACTACAATTCATTTCCTTTTAAAATTGTATTACTAGACATGTAGCTTAGAGAAATGCCACAGAGAAAATACAAAAGAATCTCAGCAAAACTTTTAATAGTCTTTCAAGTTACATGCATGGATGAAATGTGAGTAGGATAACAACACGGTATAGTTCTAAACCAGTAACAGTATACGTTTAGAACTGGCTGAATGATCACATTCCAGAAGAACTAAATAACAGATAGATATCAACCTAATGGGAGGTGTTGTATTATAGGGATATGTGCAGAGTGCTGTTCTATTAAAAGTTGTTTTTTTGTTTTGTTTTGTTTTAAATAACTTAGAGGAAGTTCAAAATGTTACTTAAATTTGCAGATGGCAAGAATTCTGTTAGCTAAAACAATGAATGACAGAATTAATATTCAACAAGATCTCAATCAACTATCAGTGAAATCTAATATTATGAAATTTAATGGTGATACAGCTAAACTCCTGCAAATAAGTTTTTTAAACTATATATATGTAGCAAAACTACTGAAAACATACATATCTGTGAATATATAGGCATATGTCTGTCTACACAAATATGGAGGGCAAAAGAGAAAAGTTCCTTGATATAAGAAATTATGTTTTTTTTTCCTTTGTATCACTACTGCCTGGCATAGTACATGCTTAATAAATACTTGTTTATGTCTGTGTGTGTATGCATGTATATATGCATTGTTGTAGGGGGAAGGAGTTCGAAAGCAATTATTCATCAGCGGAAAGAATTGCTACTCGTGGAACCTCAATCTTCTGACACAGAGAGACACTTTTTGCTGTAACTTATTGACTTAAGAGTTTCCTATGATGCAGAGATCAATTTTACCAGGATCACAGTAGTACCAGGATCACACTAGCAAAAATGTTTGACTGCCTTTTCCCCTCAACACCATACTGTTCTTTATTTATATATAGAAGTAAATTAT